AGGGAGGGAGGGGGAAAGCCGGGCCTCGCCTCCGCCGCCTCCTCCTCCTCCTCCCCGGAGCCGGCAGGCGGGGGGGGGAAACCGGCCTCGCCGCCGCCGCGGGGAGATGGGGGGGATGGAGGAGACGGAGCTCTTCTGCCCCCTCCCCCGCGAGTATCGCGGGTCCCCCCTTGTTTATACTAACTGGCAACAGTTCTCCAAGGTAGGGGGTCTCCAACCTTTTTGAGCCGATGGGTACCTTTGGAATTTTGACTCAGCATGGTGGGTGCAGCCATAATATAGCTGCCACAACATGGCTGCCGCAGGCATTATACCCCAATGAGGTCTCTCCCCTCTTCCAAACTCTGCCCTCTGCTGGCAGAATTTCCAGACTTGGAGCTGGCAACCCTCGTGAGCTCCCTCCCCGAACCCCACCCCAAATCACCAGGACTTTCTCAAGCCGGAGCCGGCAACCCGATGTGGCTCCTGTGTTTTATGGCCCAAGTACAGCTACTTCGGTCTCAGCCCTATTTCTGGGCAGGCCCATGGCCACAGGGGGCGTTTGGGGGCGATGCCACCCCACAGATCAGCACCGCCCCCTCAGATAATTTTTTTTTAGAAATGTAAGATCCTTGTGGAGGTTCCAAAGTAACTCCAGGCACAGCCAGAGAAGCTTCAATCTTCTTGTCTTTTTTTCCAGGCCAAAAAATAAATAGGCTTTTAACAATACAAAAATATGAAATAAAATAGAATTGCAAAAAAAAAAAAAGCAAAATGCAAAAGAAGAAGAGATTGGATTTATACCCCACCCTTCACTCCCCAAAGGAGTCTCAGAGTAGCTTACAAACTCCTTTCCCTTCCCCTCCCCACAAGAGACACCCTGTGAGGCAGGTGGGGCTGAGATAGCGCTCTCAAAAACTGCTCCTGAGAGAACAGCTCTGAGAGAACTTGTGACTGACCAAAGGTCACACCAGCAGCTGCATGTGGAGGAGTGGGGAATTGAACCCAGTTCTCCCAGATCAGAGTCTGCGCACTTAACCACTACACCAAACACACACACACACAGTATACACAGAAAAGCAGCCCAGAATCGAGTCTCTCCAGTCATAAAATCCTAGAATCCCAGAGTTGGAAGGGGTCCTACAGGCCATCTAGTCCAACCCCCTGCTCAATGCAGGATCGGTGTAGAGCAATGCTCCCTCTAAGCTGTGGAGTCTTGTGAGCAAAAATTCTACTTTCTGGGCTACTGGCATTAAAGTTGTGAGCGAGTGATTTGGCTCCTGCATCAATTAGTTTACCATCCTTCCTGAGCTAAGACAAAAATGTGTGAGCCAGAGGCTAAAAAACTGTGAGCTAGCTCACACTAACTCACCTTAGAGGGAACACTGGTCTAGAGCATCCCTGACAACTGTTTGCCCAGTAAAGACTGCCAATGAGGGGGAACTCACCACCTCCCGAGGCAGCCAATTCCACTGTTGCACATGGTCGCGGCCTGGGCACCCCCTCAGATTTCCCCATGCCCCACCAACCAAATTTTTCTGGCCACGCCCCTGTTCCTAGGACTTTTCTCATTTTAGAACATGGCTTGCTTCCGACACACCAGTTTCCTCAGGGCCTCCTTCACTTCCTGGTTCCGCAGGCTGTATATGATGGGGTTCAGCGTGGGCGTGACGATGCAGTAGAGGGTCGAGACCAGGACGTCGGCATCCAGCGAGTCCCCCGCGTTGGATCGGTTGTAGTTAAAGAGGGCCGTCCCGAAGAAGGTGATGACCACGGTGAGGTGGGACGTGCAGGTGGAGAAGGCCTTGCGCCTGCCCTCCGGGGAGCGGATCCGGCGGATGGCCGACGCGATGAAGACGTAGGAGAAGACGATGAACAGGCAGGGGCTGATGCCGATGAACACGCTGGCGGTGTGGAGGACCGCGCGATTAAGAGCCGTGTCCGAGCAGGACAACTCCAAGAGCGGTGGGACGTCGCACATAAAATGGCGGATCTCGTTGGGACCGCAGAAGGACAGGGCGGAGGTCAGGAGTGTGTGCACCAGGGAGTTCAGGAAGCCTCCCGTCCAAGAGGCGGCCACCATCTGGAGGCACGCTTTCCTGTTCATGATGACCATGTACAGAAGCGGGTGGCAGATGGCCACGTATCGGTCATAAGCCATCGCCGCTAGCAGGAGGCACTCGGCTCCCACGCAAGAAATGAGGGTGAAGATCTGAGCCAGGCAGCCGGGATAGGAAATGGTCTTTGAGGCCCGGAGGAAGTTGGCCAGCATTTGAGGAACGGTGCCGGACATGTAGCACATGTCGACGAAGGACAAGTTGCCGAGAAGGAAGTGCATGGGGGTGTGGAGGCGGCCGTCAACGACGACGACCAGAAGAATCGAGAGATTCCCCAGGAAAGCCACTGTGTAAATGGCGAAGAAGACCAGGAAGAGGAATATTTGTAATTCAGGGTGGTTGGAGAAGCCCAGGAGTATGAATTCTTGGACTGGTGTTTGGTTGGCGGCCTTTCCTAGATCTTAGGGGACGAGAGACAATGATAATTAAGATAATTCAGCTTTGAAATTCAGAAGAATGGGAATTTGTGGGGGCTAGAGAAAGGAGGAGGAGGAAGAGGAGGAGAGTTGGTTTTATACCCCACTTTTCACTACCCAAAGGAGTCTCAGAGTGGCTTACAATTGCCTTCCCTTCCTCACCCCACAACAGACACCCTGTAAGGCAGGTGGTGCTGAGAGAGCCCTGAGAGGACTGTGACTTACAGGAGAAGGAGAAGGAGAGGAGGATGAGGATGTGTTGGATTTATAGCCCGCCCTTCACTCAGAGCTGCTTACAATCTCCTTTCCCTTCCTCTCCCCACAACAGACACCCTGGGAGGCAGGTGGGCCTGAGAGAGCTCTTTTGAGGACTGCTTTTGAGAGAACAGCTCTGAGAGAACTTGTGACTGGCCCAAGGTCACCCAGCTGGCTTCATATGAAGGCGTGGGGAATCAAAGCCCAGTTCTCCAGATTAGAGTCCTGCTGGTCTTAACCAGTACACCAAACTGGCTCTTGAAAGCTTATACCCTGAGAATCGTATTGGCCTCTAAGGTGCAACCTGACTCACTTTGAACTGTTCTACTGCAAGCCAACGGGGCTACCCTGTGAAACAGACATTTTGTGTTTGTGTGTGTGTGTGTGTGGATGGAGATGGAGATGGATCACTGTATGGACTAGAGAAGAAGAAGAAGAAGAAGAAGAAGAAGAAGAAGAAGAAGAAGAAGAAGAAGAAGAAGAAGAAGAAGAAGAAGAAGAAGAAGAAGAAGAAGTAGTAGTAGTAGTATTGGAGGAGGAGGAGGAGGAGGAGGTTGGATTTATACTCCACCCTTCAGTACCCTAAGGAGTCTCAGATCGGCTTACTATCTCCATTCTCTTCCCCTCCCTACCACAGACACCCTGTGAGGTAGGTGGGGCTGAGAGAGCTCTTTCAAGGACTGCTCATGAGAGAACAGTTCTAAGAGAATTGTGACTGACCCAAGGTCATCCAGCAGCTGCAAGTGGAGGCGTGGGGAATCAAACCGGGTTCTCCCAGATTAGAGTCCATGCACTTAACCACTACACAACACTGAGAACTGCCGCTTGACAAAGATTTGGCCCGTCCAATATTCTGCACAGTGTCTAGCTTGCAGCCTCTGGAAACTTGCAAGCAGCGAGCTTTGGGGAAAAGGCAGATTCCATGCTGGCCGTAATTTGAACAGGCATAGAGAAGAAAACTGTCCTTATACCAGTCTCTGGTGATGAGACCGTGTGCAGTTCTGGCCACCGGTGCTTAACAAAGGATGTCGTAGAGCTTGAAAAGATGCAGGAAAGAGCCACCAAAACGAACATGGGGCTACTCGGCTAAAACTCTCATAGGACTGTTTGGCCTAGACGTGCCCAAAGGTTCGCTGGTCAAGCGGGATTTCTAACCCTGGCCTCCGGGTTTCTAGTCCGGCTCAAGAACACATGAACGCACAAAGCTGCCTTCTATTAAATCAGGCCCTCCGTCCATCAGAGTCAATATCGTCTTCTCAGACTGGCAGTGGCTCTCCAGGGTCTCAGGCAGAGGTCTTTCACATCACCCACTGCCAGATTGTTTGTGTGTGTGTGTTTGGTATTTTTGTATATGTTCATGTGACTGTGTCTGCCCCTGGAAGTCCTGGCGGCCTCTGGTGACTGACTCCCTACTAGGGGCCTGGAGGATATTCAGAGAACTGGCTGAATGAAGCCTGCCCCTACCTCCCGACTGCTGGTATTCCAAGGAGGTCTCCCATCCACGTACTTGCCAGAGTTGACCCTGCTTGCCTGGGCAATCCAGGTCAGGGCACCTACCGTTAGATCGTTTAACTGGCGATGCCAGGGATTGCAACAGGGACCTTGTGCATGCCAAGCAGAGGCTCTGCCACTGAGCCACAGCCCCTCTTCACAGCTCTCCAGGGTCTCAGGCTGAGGTCTTTCACATCACCTCCTGCCTGGTCCTTTTTAACAGGAGATGCCAGGGATTGAACCTGGGGCCTTCTACATGCCAACCAAAGGCTTTTCCACTGAGCCACGGCCCCTCTCTACAGCTCTCCGGGGTCTCAGGCGGAGGTCTTTCCCATCACCTGGTGCCTGGTCCTTTTTAACTGGAGATACCGGGGATTGAACCAGGGACCTTCTGCATGCCAAGCAGAGGCTCTGCCACTGAGCCATGCCCCCTCTCTACAGCTCTCCAGGGTCTCAGGTGGAGGTCTTTCCTATCACCTGCTGCCTGGTCCTTTCAACTGGAGATGCCGGGGATTGAACCCCGGGCCTTCTGCATGCTAAGCAGAGTCTCTACCACTGAGCCACAACCCCTCTTTACAGCTCTCCAAGGTCTCAGGCAGAGGTCTTTCTCATCACCTCCTGCCTGGTCCTTTTAACTGGAGATGCCGGGGATTGAACCCAGGACCTTCTGCATGCCAAGCAGAGGCTCTGCCACTGAGCCACAGCCCCTCTTTACAGCTCTCCGGGGTCTCAGGCGGAGGTATTTCCCATCCCCTGCTGCCTGGTCCTTTTTAACTGGAGATGCCAGGGCTTGGACCTGGGACTTTGTGCATGCCAAGCAGAGGCTCTGCCACTGAGCCACGGCCCCTCCCCCTGCTATACCACACAAACCCATCTCAAACAAGCCAACCAGGATAGAGGCTTGGTGGTCCATGTTACCCTGTACTGTCAGTTCTGTTGGCCAGCGACTCTCCATGATCTCAGGCACAGAGGTCCTTCCAACTGCAGACCTCTGAAGTCCTTGAATTTAAATATGCGCTTCAGTTAATTATTTTTCAGTCACAGCTGAATTAAGATACCCAATGGGGTTTTTAAGGCAAGAGGCTTGAGAGGTGGTTGGCCATTGCCTGTCCCTGCATAGCAACCGTGGACTTCCTTGGTGGTCTCCGATCCAAGGACTAACCGGGTCCGACCCTGCTTAGCTTCTGAGTTCTGATGAGATCTGGCTAGTCTGAGCTATCTTGGTCAGAGCTCTGTTAAGCTCCATAAATTTATACTGCACATCTCTTTCATAAAACTGACATTCCCGTAATATCTTGGGGAGAACAACACTCAGATCAGCAAACCTGAATGCACACGCTTACCATTAAAGCCAAGAGCCATGACAGATGCTGAAGAAATCCCGCTCAGTGAAAGTCAGGCAAAGCGGTTTCCTTTGGCTACCTGAAGGCACGCAAGTGGGAAAAATCGGTGCAGAATCTGTGTCATGAATCCTGAAAGCCTGTGATCAGAAATGGCAAGAAGAAAGAGAAGAAGAAGAGAAGAAGAAGAAGAGTTGAATTGATACCCCGCCCTTCACTCGGAGTCTCAGAGGGACTTACAATCTTCTTCCCTTCCTCTCCCCACAATAGAGACCCTGTGAGGTAGACGGGGCTGAGAGAGCTCTTTCGAGAACTGCTCCTGAGAGAACAGCTCTGAGAGAACTTGTAACTGACCCAAGGTCACACCAGCAGCTGCATGTGGAGGAGTGGGGAATCAAACACATTTCTCCAGATTCGAGTCCACTGCTCTTAACCACCACACCAAACTGGCTCTTATAAGGTGAGAGATAGTGGTCACTCATCGTTGTAGGTTGGTTTCCATGGAAAGAACTGTTAGGAGCTCACGAGTCTTGGTTCTGTGCTAAATTTTAAGTTGGAGAACTTCCAAGATGACTTTAGAATCGGTCCATGGTGCATCTTGCCATAGTTTGTCCCCCCCTCCCCCTTCTTATACCTGCACACAGACATGCCGATGATCAGTGTGATCCGAAGAGGACTTCCTCCAGTCCAACCCCATCTATTTCAATGGTCTTAGGATGGAGCAACTCAATGGAGGATTGCTCTGGGAATCGCGTAACGAGACTCTTGGTCTCACGAATGCATCCAAGAATCCCTTTTGGATTGTGATTTAATCAAGGTGGTGCAGAAAGGGGTATGTATCAGCAGGGGTCGTTTCGTAGAAAACGAGCTAGGGGGACTCATTAGCATAACTCATTAGCATATGCCACACCCCCTGACATCACCGGAAGTGTGTCATAAGGCCACACACACCGCCCCCAACGGTCCCGGCCGCCGCTGCGGGCCTTGCAGCTCCACTGCCGAGCCCCATGAGGGGCCCGGCGGTGGACCTCCAAGGCCAGCGGGAGTGCAAGGAAGCCCCGCGAAGGCCCTCCCTGGCCCCAGGCAGGCAGGGGTGGGGAGAGGCAGGGAGGAAGCAACTTACCCTCCCTCTTCTCCTGCCTCCTCCTGGCTGAATGAGGGCCGGAAGCGGGGAGGCCGGAAGCAGGGAGCGGGGCTTCGTCATGTGCCCCGCCCCCGTACCTCACCCGGGGGAACTGCGATCCCCCGTGATCCCCCCCGAAATGACCTCTGTGTATCAGAGACATGGAGGTAAAAAAGATTGGTTCCCACATTCACCCGAAGCGGTGGGGTGCATTGTACCCTTCCCCCCGGGCATCTGATAGTGGAATGGGTGGGATAGGTCAATGTCACTGCGCCAATGAAGGGTGCGTGTGTGTTTTGGGCTGGCTCCTTGAAGTCAGGGCTTTCTCCTCTTCATGCTGGGAGAGCCTGGGATAGAAATCCGGAGGTGGAGAATGGAAGTATCCTTAATTATGTGCATGGTTCAATGAGATAAGTTATCTCTGGATCAATGCTCCCTCTAAGCTGTGGAGTCCTGTGAGCAAAAATTCTACTTTGTGAGCTACTGACATTAAAGTTGTGAGCGAATGATTTGGCTACTGCATAAATTAGTTTGCTCTGGAGCCATCCTTCCTGAGCACAGACAAAAATTTGTGAGCCGGAGGCTAAAGAACTGTGAGCTAGCTCACACTAACTCAGCTTAGAGGGAACACTGCTCTGGATGGAGATTTTTTTACCCAGACATTCAGATCTGAATCCAGGAGCACCTAAGAAGCCGACAAGATTTTGGGGGGTATGAGTTTTCAAGCATCAAAGTTCCCTTCGTCAGATACCTACGAGTTTGGACTCTCAAAAGCCCATACCTCAAAAATCGTGTTGGTCTCTAAAGGGCCGCGGGATTCAAATTGAGCTCTTCTGCGGCAGACTCTAAAACTACCCAAACTTTGTAGGACTCTAGATGGTTTTTCCAGCGAACCCTTTCTCTAGCATCTGCTGATACCCTCCCTTTCTAGTTTCCACCACTTGTTGTTCTAATATTCTGCATGGTGTAGTGGTTAAGAGAGGTGGACTTTAATCTGGAGAACTGGGTTCGATTCCCCCGCTCCTCCACATGAAGCCAGCTGGGTGACCTTGGGTCAGTCACAAGTTCTCTCAGAGCTCTCTCAGCCCCAACTACCTCACAAAGTGCCTGTTGTGGGAGGAGGAAGGGAAGGCGATTGTAAGCTGCTCTGAGACGCCTTCAGGTAATGAAAAGCGGGGTATAAAAACTAACTCGTCTTCTTCTAGAATATGGAACAGGAATTCTGTGGCAGGGATATATTATTCTGATATGGAAATCTGACTGAGCTCTTCTTCTACTAGCAATGCACAGTCCACGGCGATGCTCCCTCTAAGCTGTGGAGCCTTCTGAGCAGATATTCTACTTTGTGAGCGACTGGCACTAAAGCTGTGAACGAGGCATTTGGCTGCTGCAGAAATGAGTCTGCTCTGGAGCCATCCCTTCCTGGGCTAAGACAAAAACGTGTGAGCCAGAGGCTTTAGAACTGTGATCTAGCTTACATTAACTCAGCTTAGAAGGAACACTGATCCTAGGTAGAGTTATTCCAGTTTAAACCCATTGCAATCAATGGGCTTTTAACTTGGCACAACTATAGTTGCATCGCACACGGCCTCTCCGAAGAGGGCCTGTCCAAAATGGCTTTACAGAATAGAACATGCAAAGAAAAAGAAAATTGTTAAATGTTAAGAAGACTATTAAAAATGTAACATGAATAAAAGCCCGGCTTTTCAGGCTTCATCCAGCTCTATCTCTTCCCAAAAAGATCCCCCCACACACACCTCCTCTGGCTCCAGTTTACAAAAGTTCTGGTTTCGTACTAGAACGTGACCACGTTGATGACAATGCCGAACGGTGACTGTCTGGACTACCAGCAGCTAAAATATTCTAACCTATTTTTAGCGAGAGAGAAAGAGACGTCTTACCTTGTCAGCTATCTGGGTCTGTGCAAATCAGTCTGCCTGGAGCCATATTTAAAGGCGTTTTGGAGCCTCTGAGGACATAATGCACAAAAGCCTCTCGAATCCAGCAGGTCATGCTTCGGAGTTCTGCGTATTGGGAGATTTGGGGAATATGGCAGAGTTTTGCCCAGTCCTAGAAGCGTGAGACTGAGGGCAGTAAATAAATCTCCCGAGAAGAATATTGCAAAAAAGGCAGACTTACATTTATTCAAAGTAGATCTGGTTCACATTCAGGTTGCAGTCGAAAGAAGAGGAAGATGCCTAATCTAAAGAGTACTTTCCCGATCGCAAAGGGCCAGCTTGTCCGGCACCGTGTGTGTGGGAGTATGAGGGCATTCACTCTTCAGGAGAGACCTGCAGAGACAAATGTCTCCATGGAAGGCCATGAGGAGAGAGTGAGAGGACAAAGCGAGAGAGGAGGAAAAGTCAGAGAGCAACTCCCAGGTTAGGACAAAGTGAGGCATCCGTTCAAGGAGACAACACCTGTACACACTTGAGTGATGTAGCGCCCCCCACCTCAATGTCCAGGTTATGTGAACTCACTTACCAACCTTAGAAATCTTTTGAAACATTGGTCTCTCTGTAAGAAATTGGATCGGTGCCTTAATATTGCACATTACTGGGTGTCTTTAAGAACATAAGAACATAAGAGACGCCAATGTTGGATCAGGCCAAAGGCCCATCCAGTCTAACACTCTGTATCACTGTGGTCAGAAATACCAGTGCCATCAGGAGGTCCACCAGTGGGGCCAGGACACTAGAAGCCCTCCCACTGTTGACCCCCCCAAGCACCAAGAAGACAGAGTATCACTTGCCCCGGAGTCCCTTTCTGTGAATGGAGTTGATATTCCACCTCGGGGTTACACCCCATTGCTCCTAACTGCTTTTAACTTCTTGAAAACGCCGAAGAAGAGATTTATTTATTCTAAACAAGTGAGATTAAGTCCAGATACCTCGTCTTGGATTTCATACTTTGGACTTTGGAAGTCATTCTCTGGACTGGGAGCAGATCTGTTGGGAGTATCTCATAACCCTTGCAGAATTAGAACATTTTGATTGTTTCATTGGTTTACTTTTTATAAACTCATCATTACTTGACTTCTTTACTGCAATTGTTTGAAAATGGTCTTGTATTAGATGAATAGTCTTGTTAGGAAATAATCACATTTATATGGAAATAATCACACCGTGTAAGAAAAAGTATTTGTTTTTTGCGCTTTCTTTCATAGTCATGTTTCCTATATCTCTCTGCAGAGTCGCTCATTCCAACATTGTGATCATAGATTGTTAAGAAGAGCAGATAATTAACACTTTTGGCTTTGAAGAAGAAGAAGATTTGGATTTATGCCCCACCCTTCACTACCCAAAGGGGTCTCAGAGCGGTTTACAATCTCCTTTCCCTTCCCCTCCCCAGAAGAGACACCCTGTGAGGTAGGTGGGGCTGAGAGAGCTCTTTTGAGGACTGCCCTTGAGAGAACAGCTCTGAGAGAACTTGTGACTGACCCAAGGTCAC